ATTACAGCACTAAGAGGATAGTTAATGGTTATAAAACTAAATCTCTAGTTTAAAAAGCATATTGAGTTCTGTGAGATGGTGTTTCTATTTCATAACTTTCAACTAAGATTTAAAAAGACTTATATATAAATACTAATCAACATCCTACAATATAAAATACTTAGCAAAATAAGTAAAAGAGTAGCAATATATTTTGTGCTTAATACTGAATATTATAAAAGAAAACCCCTTGCTTTTTCAAAAAGTAAAAATCTTAAAATAAAGAAAGAAAATAACATATCTCCATATGCTATTTAATACATTGTGGTGACTACATGAGGGTCACACAAAGGAAATATGTATAATTGAATATAGCTTTTATGTATAGCATTAGTAGATTAATAAGCAAGCTGCAGTTTAAATTATTGTATTGTAAAAGTAATCTACTACTTACCGAATTATTTTGTGAGATAGTGTCCACCTGCTGCATCTTGGCTTCGTTTCTGCAACAAAAAAAAGCCAGTGTGTAAATAAATTTCATAAACATATACAAAAAAAAAATTAAAATATTATTCAGCATCAAGTTTTAGATCACATTGTGGGCTTACAATATTATGATTTTTTAAACTCACTTGTGTATAACCTATTTTATTTTAGCATTGTAACACAAAGTCATAAAATACCACATTTTTCAATGCTTTTCATAGATCAGTAACCATTTTTATTGCCTTCTCTCGAAATTGCAGGATTCACTACACGAGAGATGTCAAACTCCAACTGATACATTCAAACTTCACATTTCATGAAATAACTAGGTGTATTTTATAATATAAGGCTCATCGAGTCCACGGTAATGAGCTTCACCTACCTTTCCGACATATATGGTACATAAATGCTATGCAGCAGGTAACTGCCTTACGTTGATGCTTGACGCTATGAGGCTTCATCAACAATTGAGATGGCAAGGATATATTCTGAATTGAGCATGGTAGCTCACTAATTGCTTGCCAAGATGATTGCGCTGCAACCAGGGAGATTGGTGCCGTGGAGGCATAACACTACTCAAGCCTACCAAATGGTAGTACTTTGAATGTCAGCCCTGTACACTGCTGTGAGACTCCGTACCTCCAGCCAAGACTCGCGACATTAGCAACATCTGGATAACATAACAACAGGACCCCGTATTGTAACAACCCCAAATTGTTTTATCGCTTTAGAGCAAGTTAAACATTGATTTATTTTCAGGTTATGTATATCAGTATAAATTATTTAACATATCATGCAAAACTAAATGTATAAGATACATGCTTGATGTATAATTTTTTTTCCATTTTACTATACATAAACCGACAATATGTATTTACTAGTATCTTGAAATACGTTCAAATTGCTCCTTTAGATGTTTCTCATTTATGAAGTTGTTTGTGAAAATTTTATAACTGAAAACTACATTTTGTAAAACAGTAATAATATAAAATAGAATGCATGTATCAAATAAAATGGTACTTATCAGTAGCCAAACCTTTTATGAAAAATACTTTTTATATATAACATAAACAAGGAATCAAGTCTTTACATTACCCATGAAAGATATAACAAACACAGCTAAACTGTAATCTTTATGGCTTTTTGTACAGCATTATACTACTGTTATTTTAATGTATGTAGCATAGAACAATCAAAGAAGTATGTTATAGAAACAAAATGAATGTACCTAAATCTCAAAGTAAATCTGCTTTCATGTATCTCATTAAAAATACATATACATCATCTGATAATTTACAACCTTCCAATATTTTATTCCTTTATGATAATTTTAAGGAAATGTAAAGTTAATTGACAAAAGAATAGAGTTTTACACCGAAGTTACGAGATATCAAGAGGATGCATGTAAATAACATGTATGAATACAAAACTTTAAGTAACAGAATGGATCAATCAGGAACAGCGTGTTTAAAGTATAACACTTTTGACGCACAGTGGTAACTGCAATTGTGTACAAGAATCAATGTGCATACCCTGTTGTTCGAAACCAGTGTAAGCCAAAATGGAAAGTTTGACAAAAGTAGCACAAATAACTGGTACACTGGTATAGAAAGTGAGCTGACTATTAAAACACAAAATTGACAATGTACAGGAGAAAAACGATCTCGCGGACGACCATAAGATTTCGACCATGGGAAGCAAGAGCTTCTACCGTGGTGAAGAGCAGCATTGCCAGAACAATCCATGCCGCGAAGACGTTCTATTCGTAGAGGTCCGAGTATCAAGGGCACAGATAAGAAAGTTCGCGGGTCGAACAGGTGCTTGGTGGTTAAAAGTCGTCAAAGTAAGAAAGGAGAAAGGTGAGATCAACGAGAGACGACGGGAGAGAAATAAACGCGGTAGATGCGGGAGTGGAAAGAGGAGGAGGACAAGTAGGAGAGGATGGCGAGGGGAAGGGTAGCAGACCCGCGCCCAGCCGATGCACCCAGCCGACGCACAACAAACACGAGCAAGCCGCCGTGTGAGAATCTAGCCGAGCGCTCGACTGGCGCCGAAATCGCAACGTTTCTCACATCGGACAATTCTGGCGCGCGCGGAGTACCCGAGCCGCCTTTTCGGTCACTCGATTTGGCGTAGGTTTCAACATGGCGGTATGGCCGCTCGGGAAAGAAAGCTCTCAAGGGCCCGCCGCTACAGCCGCCACTTACGCACCACCACGGCACACACCACGCGCTATACTTATCATCAACGGACCCAGAAACTTCAAGATTACTTGTAATCACTTACCTGATCAATGGAAGTCCACTTTCCACAGGAATTTTATCGAAAAACACTACCACTACGTCTTGGACACTCGCACTACGCTTTCTCCCTGCTCGCTAGTTTGGTTGGTCGGTGTTATGGCCGCCGCCGAGTGTGCCCCACCGTATCACTCACTCACTCTCACTCGTGCGAGCGCGAGCGCTCGGTTCGCATACGCGACGAACGCGGACGCGGCCCGACCAACTAATTCCACACTTACGAATGCGGACGTCGATCTCTCACACTAATATCGTATCAGTGCCCCGTACCGAGCTCCACCAACATTTTCCTGGAGTCTTGTACAATCGGATGGCTTTCCGTGCCCATGACGATCTCGGATCTAGAAACTAACGATCGCAGCACCAACAATGGCTACGCATTCTTCCGCGACGTACCGAATGGTCCTGTTCCGCTGTTCCTCGAACACGACCTGTCTATCCATTCCCCTCGCTATTCTGTCATTCCGAATTTTACCGAAGTAACCCGAACAATGGAGCGCCAATTTCAAAATTATTTAATAAATATTCTGAAATTCTCTTCAATCTAAAGAATACTAGTAAAATTTGTCTTTCTAACAAGTACTTCAACGACTGATTCAATTGCAGTTACATATTTCAATGTTATTATTTACGCTTTCGTGGTATTTCCTTTTGTGACATATATCTGTTTCATCCTGACCAAGTATTCAAAATTGATTTCAAAATAAAATTATTTCGTAATATTCTGTTACTGCATTGAAGTATCTAGCAACATGGAAATATAAAGGAATAGGGTTTACGGGTATGTAACAATTAAACATCTTTATTCACAAATTAAGATTATACTTTATTAACCAATCCAAAAATTAATGGTTAATTTCCATCGTTCCATGTCCACCCATAATGCATTTTTAGATCATGGAAATAATGATCCATAAATAAAAACATTAATAAATAATGATAATAAGACGAAAAATTAATTTTAAGAATATAAGCAGTTATTAATTTTCTTGTTTGAAATATAACGTTAAAATTTATTGAGTACCGCGCAAGTCGTGGTTCAATTCCACGATTCTATAACTGCTGCAATGCATTTTGGGATACGTGCAAAATCTATAACTACCTTCTGTTTTCACCGTTATTTTTCAAATAATTATAATATTACCATAAACGATGTAATAATTAAAAACGTACTTAGCACGTGGTAAATTTTACACGCCACTGAAATTATATTCTATCGTGACGTGTACGTCGTCATCATAACAAGTTCCGTTACACATCCAAAATGGCGAAACATAAACGAATGACCTTTACTTTGTTATATTTCGAATGAAATGCAATTCCAGCATTGAGAAAAACCGAATTTCACGAATACAGATAATAATACGCTTCGATAAATTACTAACTAAGATTATAAAATTGTATGAACATTATAAACTATATGTTAACGCATCGACAATCTGCAAACTCGTGACATTGACTACGGTAGTCAATCTGACAGTTATACAATTGAGCACATATCACTAATATTACAATTAAAGAAACACAATATAAAAAAAATGTTACTATAATTCAAACTAGAATCCATAAGAATTTGTTATTATATACATTGACACAAACGACCATAGCACTAAAACACAAAATGGCGTCTCTCGAATGAATACTATCACTTTTCAACAGTTTACATTTTCAACACGTGTCACTTCGAATGCAAGCATTGAATCACAGAAGCAATAGTTCTCGAAGTTAAGAAAACAAGATAGTATAATCTTTGAAAACCAAGTTATGTAAAGATAGGAGAGTGTTCCAAATACTTGACATTAAGGAGCATTTTTGCTTCGATGACGTAATGAAATACGAAAGTCAAAAAAGAAACTAGACATTGTGGACTTCATGTCGACGCGCACGTAACATCCTTCCGGTCGCCATTACGTTTATCGCGTTCTGAACTGTGATTGGTGTACATTTGTAGAACTTTTGCCTCGAGCCAATCGCTTCAAAACTAATATTGATGAGTCATTGTATTTAGGATTTTCCACTGAGAATTGCGCAATAGTATATGACTAGTATATGAATTTTTGTATATATGCCTACATATGAATGCATACGAGTGAATGCGCAAAGAACACGTGTTGTATATATTATAATAAATTTTGTATCTTCGATTTTTAGAATATTATTCATATTGTATATAAAAATAAATAAAAATTGTTTCAGAATAAAGTTACACGTAAATAAGACATGTTGTCAACTTATTTATACTATTCCCCAAACTTCCTCAAAAGCTGAACATAATTTACTACATGTTAAAGCACCGGATAATGGATAATTACTTATAGACACTGTATCTTCTATATAATCCGCCTGTACCTGTAAATTTCAATTATTAATAAGAGAAACAGTAAACTGAAATAAGATGACATATAAAAAAGTGATTTGTACAATACTATATAAAATTTACCTGTCCATGTGCCATTGCACCTACCACAATAGCTAATGGTTCATCAGAGGGAACTAACTCTCTTGGATTTTGCACTTGATTTGCACTAAAAGACATTGCAATTCTTCGACATCCAACTGGTAGATGATCAGTGACTGGATTTCTAATCACTTTTATCAGTTTCATTGGACCATCAGAAGCACGAACACTAAATTTGTGCAATAATTGTACTATAAAATAAAAGTTACTTTAGTAACATTTAGTAGTATACTGTTTAGTTTTTTTAAATGCTAATAATACAGCTTGCTATATGTTTTATCTTTACCCATCAGACCAGCAAATCGTTTAAACGTCCTTGGTATTCTGGTTTGTGGATTTACTTCTATTAGTACATTTTTCTCTGTATGTACATAAACTTGTAATAGTCCAGCCCTGTTTAATGGACTATCCATTAACATTAATAAACACTGGTGAGCAATATCTGGTCTGCATGAACCAGGATCACGGTTAAACTTTCTTAAAATATGAGTGTGATCATCACAATTTAATAATTCAAAACTATTTCCAACCTAAAACAAGTTTTAATTTAAATAAAGATTAATGTTATGTAGCTGTGTAACAAAATTGTTTTGACATATTTATTTCAAAATAAAATGAATTTTGAAACCAATTAATACTCAATATGTTTTGTAGTTAATAATACGCAGGTTATAATAAATTACTAACTACGTTTTAAAAATATACATAAATTAATATAAGTATACAGAAATAAACTACAACAAAATACATTGGTAATTCATTTTAAAAGTTACGAACAAAACATAACCTTACCTTAACAGATTCCAACTGAGCTCTTTCTAAAATAATAATCAAACGTTTCTCTTGATTTTTTACGTGTGCTACGTGCAGATGTTTAGGAGCTGGATCGTATTCAAAATCATCCTTTTCCTTCCGAATTTTGCGTTTTTGACTCATCTTTTATACGTTTATTGACAGTATAAGTCTCACAACACGTGCACTAAAATTCTGTCCACATGGTAATAACTGTGAAATCGTAGTGAATAACAGTACAGAAATGAGTGAGACAAGGAAAGGAAGACGGATAAATAAGGATAGCACAAGAGAAACGCGTCAGACAAGGAAAGGAATACGGGTAGACAAGGATAACACTAGAGAAACGAGTTAGACAAAGAAAGGAATACGGGTAAACAAGGATAGCACAAGAGAAACGCGTCAGACAAGGAAAGGAATACGGGTAGACAAGGATAACACTAGAGAAACGAGTTAGACAAAGAAAGAAATACGGTTTGACAAGGATAGCAATAGTGACGCGTGTTAGATAAGGAAAGCAATAGGGATTGACAAGGACAGAAAAAAGTGGCGGGCGAGACTATCGCCATCTCGCGTTTGGAGACGCGAACTACGATTTCTTAATAAGAACACAGAATATAAACAGAGGTATTAGACAAAGAACACACTCGTGTGCGAGAAGGATAGAGAGAAAACGTTTCCTATTGGTCCATGGGTGGCCAAGCTCCACCTCCCAGGCGTCCAATCAAGTAGGCCAGAGAGAAATCGTTAATAACTCATTAATTAGGATGATTATGTGAACTTTTATGATTGAAGAATGAAGTCTAGACATCCAGTAACATTCACATATAGTTTTTAATGCAATAGACCCTTATAATAATTAGTTATTAACAATTGTTGTACGGATTGTCGGCGGCGGTACCACACACCATTCAGGTTTTTCATTAATTTCGTAGCTTTATACAATTAATTTATGCACTTTCATACATGCGTTCGAAAGACTATTCCTTTAGCTAGTTTCTCGTTCAATTTTCATTAACATATTCGTCGTAATTTGCGAGATATTAAGCATTATTTGGGTAAGTATTATATTCATCGGATTTAAGTTTAACATATTTCCGACATTTTCATTAATAACTCAATAATTAAGATGATTTTATGAACTTTTAGAATTGAAGAATGAAGTATGAACCTTTAGGAACTTTCCCATATAGATCTTAATGCATTAGAATCTTTCAATAATTAGTTATTAACAATTTTAGTACGTGATGTCGGGAACGATAACGCATACTTTTACGGATTTTCAATAATTTCATAGGTTTCTGTTAAATTCCCATGCATGTAACTACTTGCAGCTGGAAGGCAACTCCTTTAGCTACATTCTCATATAATTTTTATTAATATATTTGATTTGGTTCAAGAGTTATTAAACATTCTTTGGAAGAGTGTTACACCCGTCGTATTCAATCGTAACACATTTTCGTTATTTTAATAGAAATGCGTGATTAATTATGCACTTTCAAGCATGCAGAATGTAGAATGGACTTTCCTTTATATTCTGCAATAATTTTGGTAGCCGTAGGTGATGGGGTTTATTAGATATTAGCAATTGTTTATAACAGTTGACTATAGTCGAATACGATGAATAGGAGACTGTCCCATATAATCTTTAATAACTCTTAAACTAAAGAGAATATGTTAATGAAACTTATAAAAGAATGTAGCTAAAGGTGTTGCCTTTCAGGTGCATCTAGCTATTTACACGAGAATTTAGGAAAAAGCTGTGAAATTATTGGAAAACCGTAAAGGTACTTGACGGTATGCGGTATCGTTCCCGACATCACGTACTTTAATTGTTAATAACTAATTATTGAAAGGGTTGACAGCACTGAAATCTATATGAGAAAGTTGCTAAAGGTCCATACTTCATTCTTCAATACTAAAAGTTCACAAAATCAGGCTAATTAATGAGTTATTAATAATTTTTCACTGGCCCACGTGGCTGAAGCCCAGGGGGGCGGAGCTCAGCGGACCGCGGACCAATAAGAAGCGTTCTCTCTCTATCCTTGTCGCACACTAGTGCTTTCCTTGTCTAATACAATAGTTCATGTATCCAAACGGGAGATGGCGTTGGTCTCGCTCGCCATTTTTCTGTCCATGTCTGACATGCGTCACGTTTTCTATCCGTATTCCTTTCTTTGTCTCGCAGTAACCAACCGTTCGTTCGCACATCCAAACCCTGAGACGAAGCAAGTTTTGTTGTGGAAAATTCCCAATTCTTATGTAATTGTATTCCTTTCCTTTTCTTACTTAAATATTGTCACTAATTTTACCTCTGTCTACCTCCATTCTTTCTTTGAAATCGTAAAATTAAGCTGTTATACTAAGTTAAATCATGCAACATATTCATTTAATACATCCAATAATTATAAACTACCATCTAAATTGTTATTTAACTAGAAACAGTAATTATTCTGTCGGAGATAGAACAGGCTTGAAAATGATTTCATGCTGCCTTTCGTAACACGAGGTTGTCTATCGAACATACGAGACACGACTGCCACGACGGTTGCTTCGTGTACGCGATGTGTACGCCTCGCGCTCGCCCTTCTCGCGACTACCAGCACATCAAACATACCACGCCCGGGCCGTTGAAGGGAATAGCATTCTCAGAAAACTGCGTCGCTACGTGATCAGCTCGCTTCGTTGTCGCCATAATTCTATAGATAAAGTACTTGAAAATAAGCCAAAAACTGTATTTTACTATCTACATTATTATTAACGCTAAAGCAATCAAGAATTGATTATAAGTATCAATTAAATATAATAGGAATGATGAAGATAATAATAGCGAAGAGAAACAAGGCTACGAATAACGGTAGACAAGGGTAATACTAGAGATACGAGTCAGACAAGGAAAGGAATACGGATAGAAAAGGCTAGCGATAGTGACGCGTTTTACACAAGGAAAGCACCAGGGCTTGACATGACCGAAAAATGGCGGGCGAGACCAACGCCATCTCCCGTTTGGAGCCATAAACTACGGTATGAGACAAGGAAAGCACTAGTGTGCGACAAGGATAGAGAGAGAACGCTTCTTATTGGTCCGCGGTCCGCTGAGCTCCGCCCCCCTGGGCTTCAGCCACGTGGGCCGGTGAAAAATCATTAATAACTCATTAATTAGACTGATTTTGTGAACTTTTAGTATTGAAGAATGAAGTATGGACCTTTAGCAACTTTCTCATATAGATTTCAGTGCTGTCAACCCTTTCAATAATTAGTTATTAACAATTAAAGTACGTGATGTCGGGAATGATACCGCATCCCGTCAAGTACCTTTACGGTTTTCCAATAATTTCACAGCTTTTTCCTAAATTCTCGTGTAAATAGCTAGATGCACCTGAAAGGCAACACCTTTAGCTACATTCTTTTATAAGTTTCATTAACATATTCTCTTTAGTTTAAGAGTTATTAAAGATTATATGGGACAGTCTCCTATTCATCGTATTCGACTATAGTCAACTGTTATAAACAATTGCTAATATCTAATAAACCGTGCATCTAGCTATTTACACGAGAATTTAGGAAAAAGCTGTGAAATTATTGGAAAACCGTAAAGGTACTTGACGGTATGCGGTATCGTTCCCGACATCACGTACTTTAATTGTTAATAACTAATTATTGACAGGGTCTGCTGCATTAAAATCTATATGAGAAGGTTGCTAAAGGTCCATACTTCATTCTTCAATACTAAAAGTTCACAAAATCAGTCTAATTAATGAGTTATTAATGATTTTTCACCGGCCCACGTGGCTGAAGCCCAGGGGGGCGGAGCTCAGCGGACCGCGGACCAATAAGAAGCGTTCTCTCTCTATCCTTGTCGCACACTAGTGCTTTCCTTGTCTCATACCGTAGTTTATGGCTCCAAACGGGAGATGGCGTTGGTCTCGCCCGCCATTTTTTGTCCATGTCAAGCCCTGGTGCTTTCCTTGTGTAAAACGCGTCACTATCGCTAGCCTTTTCTATCCGTATTCCTTTCCTTGTCTGACTCGTATCTCTAGTATTACCCTTGTCTACCGTTATTCGTAGCCTTGTTTCTCTTCGCTATTATTATCTTCATCATTCCTATTATATTTAATTGATACTTATAATCAATTCTTGATTGCTTTAGCGTTAATAATAATGTAGATAGTAAAATACAGTTTTTGGCTTATTTTCAAGTACTTTATCTATAGAATTATGGCGACAACGAAGCGAGCTGATCACGTAGCGACGCAGTTTTCTGAGAATGCTATTCCCTTCAACGGCCCGGGCGTGGTATGTTTGATGTGCTTGTAGTCGCGAGAAGGGCGAGCGCGAGGCGTACACATAGCGTACACGAAGCAACCGTCGTGGCAGTCGTGTCTCGTATGTTCGATAGACAACCTCGTGTTACGAAAGGCAGCATGAAATCATTTTCAAGCCTGTTCTATCTCCGACAGAATAATTACTGTTTCTAGTTAAATAACAATTTAGATGGTAGTTTATAATTATTGGATGTATTAAATGAATATGTTGCATGATTTAACTTAGTATAACAGCTTAATTTTACGATTTCAAAGAAAGAATGGAGGTAGACAGAGGTAAAATTAGTGACAATATTTAAGTAAGAAAAGGAAAGGAATACAATTACATAAGAATTGGGAATTTTCCACAACAAAACTTGCTTCGTCTCAGGGTTTGGATGTGCGAACGAACGGTTGGTTACTGCGAGCAAAGAAAGGAATACGGATAGAAAACGTGACGCGTGTTAGACATGGACAGAAAAATGGCGGGCGAGACCAACGCCATCTCCCGTTTGGATACATGAACTATTGTATTAGACAAGGAAAGCACTAGTGTGCGACAAGGATAGAGAGAAACGCTTCTTATTGGGCCGGTGAAAAATCATTAATAACTCATTAATTAGACTGATTTTGTGAACTTTTAGTATTGAAGAATGAAGTATGGACCTTTAGCAACTTTCTCATATAGATTTCAGTGCTGTAAACCCTTTCAATAATTAGTTATTAACTATTAACGTACGTGATGTCGGGAACAATACCGCATACCGTCAAGTACCTTTACGGTTTTCCAATAATTTCACAGCTGTTTCCTAAATTCTCGTGTAAATAGCTAGGTGCACCTGAAAGGCAACACCTTTAGCTACATTCTTTTATAAGTTTCATTAACAT